TATTACCGGAGCCTCCATTTTCCTACCGCAATTATTTTAATATAATTTCAGTAATATCTTCCCCAGAAAAAAAAAAAAATATATATATATCATGTCTTTAAATAAGAATTGAGCAGAGCTTGGACATACTTAGGCAACCAATACTGTAAACAAAAGCTCTGGATTCTCGCTTAGGAGTAAATTAAAGTGGTGGATTACGTGCCAAAGATAGAGTGTATCTTTGAGGCTGCCTGTTTCAGGACCACTTCTCAGTAGCCAGACAGTGAGTGACAGAAACTGAACTGGAACTCGGGCTACAGCAGTGTTTTATCCTCAGATCCTGAATTCCAAACATCAGCCTGAGCTGGCTCCAAATCCATCTGCCTTCAGCAGCAGCTTTCTACTGCTACTAGAAAAGCAGTGGCAGCTTCCAATTTATCTGGGGGCTGCTCCACAACTAATTCCACTCGAGAAAGCACTGCCAGGCTTTCCTATCTCAGCCTTGGCCAGTCACACTTCAGCTCCTCCCTGTCTTACATCAGCACCGGTATCCGTTTCACTGCCCAGCAAGCCAAAACGGGTAAGACTAACCTCTCCCTCTGCACCCAGAAGGTTATGCAATGAGCCAAAGCAAGGAACTGATCCAGCGGAATACTACACTCACCCAAAATGCCAGTTATGTACAAAGATCAGGGCTACAAAATATACTGAAAGAGAAATTATTCTTTTCAGTGTCAGGCTGCACTCATAACAATTCAGAAAGCAGCTCAGGAACCATAGCACAGTCAATGAAATGGCACAGTCAATTTAATGACTTTAATCAAAAAAGCAGATTTGTTTCCTTCTCCCCTTCTAACTCCCGTGACCCTATTGTGAGAGGCCGAAGGAAAAAGAAATTCATGAAACCAGCCTAATAAAAATTGATTCCTTTTTACTTGATTAGTTGTCATCTTCAAAGTCTGAGGTGCACTAGAGCCATCACCAGTGAGGCTTCCAGGCTCTCCTTGCTACTAGATCTGTCTGCTGACAAGCTATAGCCACTAAGCAGGGATCCACAACCACTTAAACCAGTCTAACCCAGCCTGCAGTCCTGTTCCCTGCACTGATGCTTCTGTCAGTCACTGTCAGTGCAGGGAATCATAGATCACTTGTTCACTTATTTGCAAAAGCACCTCTGCTTCCTAAGAAATGTGAAAGAGGAAAAGCCTTTCAGTAGCAGTCCCAATTCAGATTTGCCCTCAGAATTCAGCTTTGATACCAATTTAGATTTACTGCAGTTGCCTCTGATGGGTAGAGTCACTGCTTCCTGCAGAGAGCCACCTTCTTACTCAGAATGGCTCTTATACTTCCGTGACTGCAGGGTTTTGTTGTCGGGGTTAGTTTTTTTTAAAATCATCTTCATGAGTTGCACCAAAGAATCTCTGAATGATCAGACAAGCAACGATACTGACAGCTCAGAAGCAGAAGTCTGCAGCTAGGACAAGGAGCGGCCATGGGGTCCACCCAGTTTGGCAGCAGCTAACTATTACAGTGGCTTACCTATTCACAGAACAATTCACAAACAGGGCGAACCAAACTGCTCACCACCACACAACTGGAGACATGCGGTCTCTATCTTGCTGCAACTTATTCTCCCAAACTACTCAGTAGAAAATTAACCTGAGAAGAGAGCGAGTTGAATCAGCTCATGAAAAAGTGTGGCAGTCTCCACAGAGCAAGGGGAGCAAGAACTTCTCCTTTCCCCAGTAACCAACTGGCAGCTCAACTCAGGTACTCATGGAACCAAATCCCTGGTACAAACTGAGCTTAAACAAGCTGTCTGCTGCTCCTACTTCCCTTTAAGAAACAAACAAGGAGGAGAGAAGAAGAAGAAAAAAAAAGAAAAAAAAAAGAAAAGAAAAAAAAACCTGTAAATAATCT